CTTTCAAACTCGTGAGGCGGGAATTCCCGCATATTTCTGGATTTTCACGTGCTAACCCGCATGCGGGAAGCGGGAATCGGAGTTTGAAAGATGTCTAACAACCAATACCCCCGTCCGTCAAGGGCGTGCTCGCGGGGATCTGCTTTCCCCGCTTGTGCAGAACTCTGAGGAGGATCCCACGAAAAACCAAGCCATGGTGAATTCGGAGTGAGCTTCAGATAGAAAGATCGTACTTGGCATGTTCTTACTGCATGACGCAAACATCCCCCCTGGTATCTAGCTCGAACTACATATTATCAGTACGATGCCGTTGATAAAATACCTGTGCCGGCGAAGGCATCTCCGAGAAGCCCTTGGTGAACGACCACAGGTACTCGTCGTCTCCAGTCCACTTCTTCATCACAGGCTCGCCGATGGAACCCCACAACACCGCGTGCGTCGTTAGCGCAGGGTCTGCACGGGAACGGGATATTGGCGGGGGAGGAGAAATAAGGCCTGCATGAGGTGTGGTGGTAGCGGGACTTTGTTTCTCGTTTTCTTCTCACGGCCGAGACGAACCGCGCTTCCGTTTTTGTCGCACACAGTGCAAACATGTCCAGGCTTTTAAACGCGCGGGCATAACGTCTCCAGGCCGCTTCCTCCTCCGCACGCCATTGTGAAACACAATTGATCAAGTCCGCCCCGTACAGACATGGCGGTGCCTTCAGCATCCCACGCTCCCCAGAACAATACCTCATGGTGGGTGCACGATGACGACAAAATGGCCAACCATACGAAAGAAAATCGATTGACAACAACGACAACGACAAGGACGACGACGACGACGACGACAACAACAACAACGGCAGCAGCACCAGCACCAGCAGCACCAGCACCAGCACCAGCAGCACCAGCAGTAACAACGCCAACGCCTCTGCCTGCCTGTCCAACAACAAATCCAAGATAATCTCGAACCGGTGCCGTGACTCACACACGATGGCCACTCTTCTGACGTAAACATGTTGGTTGTCCAGGACAACGACCACCACGACAACATAGCTGAACAGGAGCAAAGTCAGGCATGACAGGGTCCACTTCATTGTCTCGTACTCGTTGAACTGCTTCCGGACCCATCTGAGCTGACGAGTGCACACAAACCTGATCGTGGCGGCAAGAGACACCAGAGCGCACACGGGACACATGACACTTGTTACAGGAACGTGCAGGTAAGATTGCCGCCACCTTCGACATCACCACCACCACCGACAACAACAAAAACAACAACAAAGACGACGACGATGGCTTCAATGCCAACGAAAAAGCCAAATATACCCCACAAGTCGAACCACCGGCGTCAACATCAACCCTTCCCTCTCCTGCCCCCATCTCACCAAAGATAGCACATGGTGTAGAACCCCACGACGTTCATCGCCAAAACCACGTTTCTCGAAGTGCTCGTGGTGTTGCACGAGTTGACAGTCTCGTCAAAGACGTAGGCACCGGGAACAAGCAGGGCAACCAGCGGCGGAACCAGGCTAATGCTTGAAAGCAACATGATCTGGTACCTGACAGGTGTTGTCAATACGGGCGAGGTAGAGCGGGACAAGTCGACCTTGTCCAACGCAAACGTGACAGAGAGAAATCTGTGCCCCAGTACGTCTAGGTTCCTCTACGCTGTGCAAGCTGGATGCCCATTCTCCCAACGTTTCGCGTCGGTGGTGGCCTAACTACTCGTACTCAATGAATAAATGGGCATGCTTTCGTCTCCAACGTAGCATAATGACCCTAACTCCCGGCTGTTCTCGACGCCTTCAAGTTATGTGGGTACACCAATGCTGAAAATCGGCCAACAAGGATGTGTGCCGCCTTGCTTTGTTCGCAAGAAACAAGCCCTGTCCACGAAAGTCAGCACCCCTGCTCCAAAGCATCGAAGATGAGACCTCGAAGGCCCTTCTACCATGGGCTGTGTAGGTACCCTACTGTAGCAATGCCGCGACCAACAACGATGCCGGAGCTCACTTTGCGGGCCACATGCTATCGTCGTGCTTGACTAAAATCCTCCACATGCGGTACACCCGGATGAAAAACGCGAAGATGTGGGTGCACAGCGCCGACCACGCCAGGAATCTCTGGTGCGGCAGACAAAGCGGGCGAATGGGCAGGAGTGGCGGTTGCAGACATAAATGAGAAGCAACGGTAAATGAACGATAACGGGCAGGTCAAACGCTCCATGAGGGGCCGTTCGACCAAACCACCAGGGGCGTGAAATCACCATCGGGAAACAACGTGGACGCAACACGCAGCTACCTTGCCTCGAATCGTCAACCAAGCAGTCGCCAACACCACATGGCAACTCCACCCGCGACGCGCCTGCCTTCAACCACAAACAACTCCAAAGTTTGTGCGTGAGGCGTAAGTCGTCAATTCTATCGTGGGCGTCAGTTTTTTGCCCGGTTTATTGCGGCGTGTCCGCTGGGGAAACACAGGAGGAAACGCCGCACAGGGCTCGCGTTTACCGCCTGAGGCGGGGGCACACCTCGAGGTAGCACTTGGCAAGAAGGTCGCCCTCGCTCCTCCGAATTAAACCGTTCTCCAGGGCGCCCGCAATTGTCCACGCGAATCCAGCAAACGTCTGGAGGAATGCAGCCAGCGGGATCGACGACGGGAGAAGCACGAAAAGCGCAAGAGGGGGGGGAAGCCGAGGGGGGTTCGAAGAGGGCAGAGGGAAGGGCGCAAAGGGGCCGAGAAGTAGACGGAAAGGGATGTAAGACCTCTGTTTGTGGCAAACAAATCTTGATCTTCCTTTCTTTGGACAAATGTTGACTTTTTCGACCTTGTGGGCAGTCTGCCTCCCGAACGAATGCGAATCAGCTGTTCGACCTTTGAGAACAGTCACAGCTTTGCCTAAGATGTCTACAGATCGCCTACATGTTTCGCCAGGGTCCACGTTTGATTTTTTTCCAGCAGAGCAAGATGTTGAAGATTCGGCCGAAAGACCACCTCGGAGCAAATCTTGGACCAAGATCTGTCCAAAAGCTGGTGTTGGAAAAATCTTGCGTGAAAATTGCGCACCTTGAAAAAATCAAACCTGGGCCCTGGCGAAAAATGTAGGCGATCTGTAGACATCTCAGCCAAAGCTGTGACTGTTCTCAAAGGTCGAACAGCTGATTCGCATTCGTTCGGGAGGCAGACTGCCCACAAGGTCGAAAAGCCAACATTTGTCCAAACAAAGGAAGATCAAGATTTGTTTGCCATAAACAGTGGTCTAAGGGGAGAGATAAGGGGAGACAGAGAACAAGGACAGACAGACAGAGTCGGCTGGCGGTGGTTTTGGTTTCACGAAGGGCAACTCAAAGAGAAAGGTTCTACCGACGGAAACACCAAGCAGGAAAACACTCTCCTTGCAGAAATACCACCAACTTGCAACCAGTGCGAGCACCAGGTGCGGCGGAAGTCGTCGTTTCTGCATCACAGCGTGAGAATGGGCAACAACAAAGCAGCCAACCTTGAAACGTGAGAGCCAACGTGGACCCAGTCTTTCCGAAGATCGGAACGGAACGCTACCTACACATGGTCGAGCGGCGAAGCGAGCAACCAACAATTGTAACAACAAGCAGGCACCAATGTATGCCCAGCTTTGTCTACTGCCCACCCACCATGACGATGACGATGTCGACGTTCTTGGTCACGTACGGGGGCCAATGCCGCCAGCTCAGTAGGTGGATGCAAACGCCCAGGGCAAAGGTTTGGACTGTCCCCACGAACCCCAGCATGATATAGTCCACCATGGCCAAGGGCTCCCAGACTTCTTTGTCGGACATCTTCTACGAAAGCTCCCTTCCAAGCGTGAGCCGTACAGTCAAGACTCTTTGCGGATGCGAAGCCTGATGATGAACCTTGAGAGGACACCTGCCAGGTGCGAGACGACGGCGGCCGAGAAGCGGGGTAGGGAGGGTTGGTGTGCGTTTTGTCCTACGGCAGGCAGGCAGAGGAGTTTCACACTGTCCGGCACTCCAGTGTGTTTCATTGCGCCTATACGTTTCCCGTTTCCATTCTACATGGTACTGTTGTAGGGGGGGGGCAAGCGGGAGAGTGCACCGGTCGTGTTTGTTCGACAGCAAGGGAAACAGGGCCGTCCAAATCGCTGGGGCCCCAAATCACGGAAGTGGCGTCTCCAAGTCTACATGGTAAAACATACGCACATCGAGACTCCTGCCGCTCCTTTCTTGGGGATTGGTGTCATACTTACGCATTGGCCTTCCCGATTCAGCAGACCTCCCTCGGTCGGGACATCGACTATTCTACCTTACGAGCATCCAATGTCCTGCTGTACATATATTTCACCAGCATAAAAAAAAAAACTACGACGACGACGACGACGACGACAATGGCCATACTCAACATAGGACGTGTGCGTTTTTGGCGAGATGGTAGTCCACGAATGCCGGAGGCGCCTGAAACCAACTGCTGTTTTGGTACCAGGCGTACGCGGTTTTGGGATGATCGTGATCAGTTGGGAAATGTTGCCACCGGGGTTCAAATGGTACGTCCTTCAAGGCACTCGTTCAAGATGTGCCAAGCAGACATCGGTGGGCGCCGTACGCACGCAGCAATTGCTTTGGAGAAACAAATAGAAACATCCCAATTGGCACCTGGCAGCCGGGTGCAGGTTTGACCCTGCTGCCTGCGTGTTATCTTGCATCGCCCGCAGACGAAACCCGACACGCCAGAACGTTGAAACTTTCCGAGTTCGTCGAGGCAGAGTGGTCGAGGTGTCGAGGTGTTATATTTTTCGAGTTCCCACACATACGAGTTGTATTGGCTGTAGGCAGGTGCGTAGGCATACATCGGTGCCGCTCACATGGGTACACCTGTGCAACATGCTACCTGCATGCGCTATGGCCTGGTCTGCGGTCAACTGTCACGCAGAGGATTACGCGCAGTCACAACCATAACACATATCCGAACTCTTGTCGATTGCTCGGAAGGCCCAACCAGAAACAAGCACAAGAGGCGGGGTTGTCCCGCAACGAAAAGTATCGTTGCGGCGAGACCGCACGAACGCACGCACGCAGGAAATAGAAACAGCATTTCTACACATATTCTAACGACCGTGCTACGGGGTATAAGCCTCGCCCGCGTCACGCCCGCCGTACAGCAGCCACTCGCTACCTCTGCGTCATGAGCGGCATGATGGACATGAATCATCATCCGTCAACCATGATAGGCAGAGAGTAATGGGGACTTCTGGATACGTTGTACATTGCAGTGGCCTCTCAGCAATGGCCGAAAGCACCAACAGACGTACAAGAACGGTCGGCATTCTTGCACAGCAGGAGTCCAACACCTGAGCATTTTCATCAAGACCCAAGTGCAGACGTATAGACTCGGCGGCTTCGACAGCGTTCTGTCCGAAAACGTGGAAAATAACGCGACAAGATAGCTGAGTTTTTTGTGACACAACGCCAGGTCTAGGTCCCCTTCCGAGAGCAAGCGAGAGAGATGGGCCCAGGTGCTATCGAACGTGCTTACCTTTATCGTAAGCATCTCCGAACGACGCACGGGTAGCACCAGCCTGCAGCGTGGTAGCCTCGCTCGTTGTTGTCTGTATCCGCGGGCGGTGGCGGACCTTCAGAAATGCGTATGTATGTGCCAACAAGTTGTACGCCTCTTTCTTGCTCAAGGAAAGATTCGGCGGAGCCCCAGTTTTCGCTACACTTGCGCTGCTACAACACAACAGAACATACATTTACTTTATTACTTTTTTTTGGCAAGAGGTGAGCTGCTCAGAGCAAACGAACAGAGAAAAAACAGAGACTACATATATTAAAGGGTGTGCTTCATTTTTGGGATCTCGGCGTGAGCACATACATCGAACAGTATTGTATTGTTCGCAAAAATTCCTCTGCAGGAATTGGCTGCAGACCATGCCGACGTGCGGATGTTTCGCCTACCACGTGCCCACATCATACTGCAGACCAGATGCTCACTGCTCTCCTCCCCGGCCTGCCCCCCCCGTCCCTGGGGTAGGCCGAGCTTCCGCAAGTGGATCTAGACCTCGAAAGACCACCCAGCAACGACGGCTATACGGTCCCTGGCACCGTTTAGAGGGCTATCCTGAGTTTGGCGGTTGGGAGTTACTGCTGTCGTGAGATCGGGGTAGCTCCTTAGCCGCCAGCTTTGGTAGCTGCAAAAATGAGACTGGATCCTGACGCCCCGGCTTGGACACGGGGGCAATGCAGCAGCAGCGAGCACGGTGAGGAGGGCGGAGTGGCCGCACGCCGTGGGGGTATGCCCCAGAGAANCTAGACCTCGAAAGACCACCCAGCAACGACGGCTATACGGTCCCTGGCACCGTTTAGAGGGCTATCCTGAGTTTGGCGGTTGGGAGTTACTGCTGTCGTGAGATNCAAGTGGATCTAGACCTCGAAAGACCACCCAGCAACGACGGCTATGCGGTCCCTAGCACTGTTTAGAGGGGGATCCTGAGTTTGGCGGTTGGGAGTTACTGCTGTCGTGAGATCGGGGTAGCTCCTTAGCCGCCAGCTTTGGTAGCTGCAAAAATGAGACTGGATCCTGACGCCCCGGCTTGGACACGGGGGCAATGCAGCAGCAGCGAGCACGGTGAGGAGGGCGGAGTGGCCGCACGCCGTGGGGGTATGCCCCAGAGAAAGGAAAGGAGAGAGTCCAGAGGTGGAGGGCCACACCGCTCCGGGACAAGACAACTCTATGGGAAACAAGGCAAGAATCCGGGGCAACTATCACGTTAGCCCGAGTGTACGCAAGAAAATAGTAAAAAAACAAAAAGAGAGGGGAAGATGGAGGAAAAGGAGGGGTCGGGCGGCGCGTAGGCCAGCTAAGAGAGTAGCGCGCGCCGCGCGAAAGAGACAGCAGGGTCAACTCCTTAGGGTAGCAACCTGGAATGTGCGGACTTTGGCTGTAAACGGGGCCAATGGATAGGGGCGAGCTTACAGCGTTCTACACGAGGCAGCGAGACAAGACGTATCGGTGGTAGGAATGCAGGAGACACGGAGGGCAGGTCGAACGGAATTTGTAGCAGCGGGTTTCCGGGTGTTCTGCTGTGGTACGGAGGCTGGTGGAGTCCATGGTGTGGAGATAGCCGTCAAAAAGTCACTGTGCAAGACATCCACGTTCACTACGGAGTTTATCGACAAACGCCTTATGGCCATGAGGTTTCTGTTGGCAGGCCACCGTGGAGCGGTCAACTTCGTAGCCGCGTATGCTCCAACCGAACCTTCAACCGCCGACAGCGAGCGCGTGTTCTGGGGAAAACTTGACAGTCTCGTGTGGAGANTGCGGAGGATCCCTTCAAGAGAATGCGTGTATGTCCTACTGGACGCCAACGCGCGGGCGGGAGATAGGTTGGACGGACGGGACGGAAGGGTAATAGGAATGTACGGGCGCGATGAGCTCAACGACAATGGCATGCTACTGTTGAACTTCGCAACGGAAAACAGGCTAGCTCTGACGAGCACGTTCTTTGAGACACGCAAGGGTGGAATATGGCACACATACAACGGTGTGTCGGGAAACGATTGCAAGCGCCTTGACTACATCCTGACAAGGCAGGCACATCACTGCCGAGTATCTAACGTGGTCGTCATCCCGCAGCCGATTCGGCCAGCCAAAGCTGACTCAGACCACAATATGGTAGTGGCCACCGTCAACCTCGGTGACAGGCTTACCCGCAACCGTGCAGTCCGGACTAAACCGAAACAGAAGCAATTCAACCGTCGGGACTTGCAGTTCGAAGCAACACGTTGTGCGCTGACTAATCGGTTCCTCCTCAACCTCGACACACGACTGGACGAGCGAACAACCACCGCCGCGGGATTGGCGACCGACTTTACCAATGCTCTCCTCGACGCAGCGCGGAC